TTCAATGGAATTTTTAATTTTTTGAATATCCCTTTGAGTCTGTTTTATACATTCTAACTTTGTCTTATATTGTTCATTCAAATTTCTATCATTTTTATTGTGTTCTTCTATATTTTTATTTAGATCTTCTTTGTAGATACACACAGCATTTCTTCCATAATGTTTGTCATTTCATTTTTTATCTGAAAGATTATTTCTGACTTGATATCCTCTATAACTTCATGGAGTTATTTCTTTACTTCATGTGCTATCATTTCAGAAAGTTCAGTTATGCAATTTCTAGTGTCTTCCATTTCAGTGCCTCTTGGGTTTATTCTCAGTGGACTGGAGCACTGAGACTGCCTCTTTCTCTTTTGTTTTGTCATTTTCCTCTGGGACCCATGTGGCTAGCCAGGCACCCTGCTGATGGATTGTACTGGAATACTGCAGTGGGCAGAGTTTTAGTCCTCCGATATTCCTGTGGCTAGCCGGGGTGCACCCCCAACCTGTGACCCTGGATCCTTGTGTTTGTGGCCTGTGAGGCTGGCCAGGTGTTCCTCTGATGTACTGAACTGGGTTGTTTTGGGATACTGGACAGAGGTTGGATTCTCTTTCTTTCTTTCTTTTTTTAAAGATTTTACTTTATTTTTACCTGGGATCCAACTCATAGCTGAGCACTTGCAAGGCAGGCGCTTATGCCCCTGAGCTAAATTGCCAGCCCCAATCCTCTTGCTGCTAGCTGGCCACACTCCAGGTGTGTGTTGCTGGGTCTAAAACCTGGTTGAGTGGAGTTGAGAACCTCTGGGCCCCAGGTGTCTAGTAGGGATGCACCCACTGTATGTCACCAGGGCTTAGTGCCTGCAGGGTGGACTTTAAAACCCTTCAGATTGCAGAGCATGACCCTGAATATGGCACTGCCTGGGCCTTGCATCTGGCTGGGAGGATTTCAGAGCCTCTGGAGTATACAGGTAGCAGAATGTGTCCCGAGCATATGGCACTAGGGCTTTGATCCTGGTTGGGTGGAATTTGGAACCTCTGGGACCCACCAAGTGACTGAACTGTGGAGCTGGGGCTTCTTGCTCTGATAGCAGAGCTTATTCTCCAAGACCAATCATTGCTTCCTGATGGGCAGCTCTGGGGTTGTGGGCTGGGCTGGGCTTGGTAACTCCGGATAGATTGCACTTAGTTGCTGGCTTGGGTACAGTTCGGATTCTCTGTGCAGCTAGTGAGGATGCACCCCTGAAGTGTGGTGTTATGGACTTACGCATGCCTGGGTAGAATTCAGAACCTCCAGGACCCAGGAGGCTAGGCAGAGGATAACAGTCACTCTCTCCACCAAAAGTGACACCACCTGGACCTTGCCTTTGGCTAGGAGCACCATTTAACTTTTTTTTTTTTTTTTGTCTTTTTTCCTTTTTATCAGTACTGGGCACCGAACTCATGACTGCCTGCTTGCAAGGCAGGCGCTTATGCCGCTGAGCTAAATCCCCAATCCCACCATTTAACTTGTTAAGCTTAATGGTATACTATGGATTTGCACTTGCTGTTTTTAGTATTATATAACATAATTTACTTAACCTGATAGTTATTACTGAATATTTATGTTTTTAATTTGAACTTCTTTTAATTTTTTGGCTAATACCATTTCATATATATTTTATCTGTCTCCTTTAAAAAGTGAAATATTTATTTATAGATAAGAATATTATTCCTAAGAACATTTAAAGTATTTACTTTTGTGCACTTAATTTTCTTAAAGATATTTTTAATTTAGGAAAAATTATAAGTAGTAGAATTTAAAATTCTTTAGGTTGTTATACACTGTGGTATTTATGCCTTAAAAGTCATGGAGTTTGGAGAAAATTATATACTGTGTTTCCTTAGGATTCTTTGATTCGTTTATTTGTTATATTTAGATTCAGAAAACTGATTTATGTTTTGGCATCTGAGAAGATAGATGGAATGCAATTTATTTTCCCCATAAAATGAGTCAGTTATCTGAAAACTCTCTGTGAAAACTACCTGAGACTACATCCCTATTGGTGTTACAGTGATCTCTTCTACTGTAGCGCCAGTATCATAATATGTTACCTTATTCACTATATTTTTGCTATAGGACTAAGACTTAAAATTTGGTATCTTTTCTGTTTAAGTTTACTTTGATATTTGTCAGTGTCTGTGCTTCTTGTTTTTATATATTTTAGCTAACATTAAAAGGTAAAGCTATTAAAGATAATTTTATTTCATTCTACACAATTTTTAATAGTTTTATGTATCAAGCTCTGTCGTTACATTAGGAATATTGAAACATAGCAGAATCTTTCCTCTGTCAAAATATGTTAAACTGATAGCAGCAGAGACAATATGTAAAGAATTAATATAGTGGCCTAATATTGGTAACTTTGCTTTTTGTCTCTAATTCACTCTACTCTTTTGTTATTCATGACCTATTGGCTCTAACCATTTTATGTATTTTTCTTTCTTTTTATGTTTAGGACATAATATTTGTTATGTGATACTAGCTTAACAGATTGATTTTGGCATATGAAATATGGTGACTTTTTCCTAGTTACATAGTCTGTTACTTTTGCTAATTAATGAATGATAATTATGTCTTCTTTCAGTTCTATAACAGCTTACTGAGTTATTGCTAGCCACTGTTTGGTGAAGATAAAAATAAATACCACTGACCAACTTTTAACCTAATGACAGAATGTACAATCTGTAAAAAGCAAAAGATAATAAAATATTATTTACCACGTGCCCTATTCACTGTATGCATTGTACTAAATATGCAAGGCAGTATGTGTTATTTCATTTAATTGTACAACAGCCCAGATAGTAATTAGATATTTTTTGAATCCTGCCTTCATTTCATCAAGGTTTCTTCCTTTTTTTTTAAATCTCTTTAACTTTCCTGTCCAAACGTATCTCAAATGTCAGCCTGTGTAACTCTCACTGATTTTACTTTGTTTACCTTCAAACAAAGTAAATTTGTTAAGACTGTATATTTTTTCACTCAGTAAATATTTATGAATCTTCTAGTACTATATGTGGCAGGCAGTAGTCTTACGAACGGGGAAATAGGAAAAAGTCCCTGTGCCTATGATACTTCATTTTAGTTGATGAGACGATAGTAGGTAAATAGTAATTCTATATATCAAGTAATGACCAAATCAGTTTTTTCTAACCTGTCTTTGCCTACCTTGTCTTTACATTCTGAACACTTTTCTTGTAAGTTGCTAATCATTATATATATATATATATATATATATATATATATATATATTATATTTATAATATATAATATATACAATATGATATATATTATTAGTGTTTTAATCATTCTGTGTATATATATTATGCATGTCATTAGTGTTTCTAATATTAATCTTCCTAATTCTAATTTTTAGTGCCTTCTTTTTTTTGTGGTAGCGAAGGTGTAATGTTTTGTGTTTTAGAGAAGGTATAATGTATTTTATCTTGAAAATCACAGCACTGTCATTTTTATTTCTTACACCTCATTTGTCTCTTCATGCACCCTAAAGTCAGGTTTGTTTTGTTTTAAGAGTTTAGGGGGTAGGGGCTGGGGATTTAGCTCAGCGGCATAAGCGCCTGCCTCGCGAGCAGGCAGTCGTGAGTTCAATCCCTGGTACCGATAAAAAAACGAAAAAGACAAAAAAAAAAAGAGTTTAGGGGGCTGGAGATTTAGCTCAGCGGCATAAGTGCCTGCCTTGCAAGCAGTGAGTTCGATCCCCAGTACCGATAAAAAGGAAAAAAAAAAAAAAAAAAGTTTGGATTGTTGTTTATATCTTTAATTTCCTTTTGTGAAAATACTGCATATATATTTTCTATTTCTATTCTATGATTATTAAATTACAATTCTTTTTATATTAGAGGCTGTTTCATTGTAGATGTACTGACTTATAAAATCAGTCCTTGTTTGTATGTTACATTTCTATTAGTAAAACTGCTTTTGGGACTTTCACTGAATCTGTGGAGATTGTTGGCAAATATGACACCAAGGTCATCATTGATATTTCATAACCAACCTAAGAGAGATCACTTTCCAAGGACATAGAACAGCAAGCCATTTTTTTTTTTTTTTTTTTTTTTACAAGGGATCAAACTCACGACTGGGCGCTTGCAAGGCAGGCGCTTATGCCGCTGAGCTAAATCTCTAGCCTGCAAGCGCAACTTTTAATAGCAGAGTTGTTTTTGTTATTTTTTTTATAGTCAGACATTCCAAATTGTCTTCAAAGGCTGCCTGATCAGTACTTCTTAGTCTTAGTTTTAGTTCTGTAACATGCAGTGCATTAGATGGAAAGAAATTTGGCAGTGTGTATCCCATTTGTGTGGCATCCCTGCCTCCATGTCTAGGTATGTCCTTGCCGATGAGCTTTATTGATAATACATGAAATATAAAGCAGAGTTCTAATAGCAGTGCCTTAGATGCCATAGATAAGTTCAAGCTATACTGAATAATATTCTCTGCTTCCTTATTTCTTTCCACCTGTGTTTTTATTTTCTTTTGATTATCTGTGCTTATGCAATTACTTCTCTTTGCCTAATATTTTGAAGATAAGTTTTCTGTTTTTGTGCAAAATATCAAAATATTACACGTTGTAGATCTTTTTCAAAGAATCTTTTAAATAAAGTTTAAATAATATTTGGATAATAAATAATATTTAAATAATAAAAAATGGCTTACATGATATTTGGAATTAGCTGTGTTAAAATTTGAAAATAAAAATAAACATTAAATAAAACTATAAACATTATTAATATGAATTATGAAACTCTCAAAATTTACAGAGTGATTTAGGTTGAATATGGGTGAATACTTGTATGGCACATATACATCCAATTGTGTTAGCTTTTATTTTCTTTTAAAAACTGTTGATATTAGGTGACATGCCGAAACTCAGCCATCTCTTCCTCATGTTGAGTCATAAGTATATGATGGAATTGCAAATTGTTTCCTTGGAAGGTTTCTAATTTTAAGTATTTATTCTTTTTAGACACATAAAAAGAAGTGTTAAGAATTGTCCTTTGAGAGTCTGAAGGCTTGAAGGTAATGTCCAGTAATGTTTTCTTGAATTGGTTTTATCTCTTCAATATGCTTGATGACATTTAAGGCCTTGAAATTATTATCTCAGATCTTTTCTTTATTACCTTTTAACACATTAGATATGTTTGTATGTATAAACCAAAAATAATCTTAAATTATAAGTAAAAGAAAAACCTTGTGTTATCTCAGACTATTTCAGCCTAATTGGGTGGTGTTCTATCCTTTCTTCTTTGTATCCCCTTCACCATTTTTTAGTTTGGAATTCTGATTTCGTAATTTGTTTTTTCCTTAAGTAGACATAATGGCTCAATGGAAAAACACAAAGTACACATTTCTCCTCAGGAGTAGCTTTACAACTTACTACAAGAGATAAAAATGCATTTGTTTGGGACAACAAAGTTGTTCAGATGACTTTTAACCTAGAATTTTAGACAAGAAATTGACAATAGACTTGTGTAGCTGTACTGTGTATAAAGAACTCATATGGCTTGAAGTAGGTTTCTTAGACAAGAGGGGGCTGTAATTACTTTGCTTTTTACATGCATGGTTAGATTTTTATAGCAAGAATAACATGGTATAGGAATTTATTATAGTAGAGTAAATCATAGTATACATTGGAGGAGTTTGGGGTGGTTACGATCCAGCTATCAGTTTTGTGAATACATACACTTAAGCATGTGTGATAGCTTGTTTTTAATTTCTTTACACCATTGCACACTTCAAACATTCCATTTAGCAGTGGGTATGCAAATTGTTCCAAATGCAGCAGCAGCACTTTCACCTGCATGTCAAACTGTCAGAGAGCTTTAAATCAAATCTTTATAGCATTTTTAAAAAACAGTCCCAAAATGGAGGTACCAAACTCTGAAAAAACTTGATTTCCATACTTCCAAAAAAATCTGTGTATATCCACAGGGTAATATCAAAGTTCTAATGTATCTGCTTTCTAATTTTAACCTTTTAAATATTTTATTTTATTTGACTCAATTATATTTTCTACAAATTAATGATAAAAGCCTTGATTAATAAAATCAAATGTCAGAGAAAATGACAACTTGATGAAAAATACTCTACAATATTTTAAGGTACTGTAATACTAAAGATGTACTCATAAAGCTTATATCTCATCAGCTCTTTGTGAAGAGAGATAACCAGAATTTCCTTTTTACCTAAGTTTTCACATCCACACATGTAGCTACATTTTAGCAATATAATTTGGAGCATGCTTTAGGTGTTGTTTCTACTACTAGGTATTATAGATAGAAATATATTCCTAATTTGTGTCTCTTTTGCCTCATAATGTTTGATTTTATTTCATATAATCAAACCAAACTTTGAGGTTATCATAGAAATAAAGTTGCCTTTGTAAGAATTAGATTACTCCCTGTGAGTATGTGTGTTGCCAGAAATTTCATGGTGCATAATTTAGCAGTTTGTGATTGCATGTATGGTAGCCTAATTCAATTGGTTTTGAGAATTTTGGATTTTAAAATTATTCAGTTAAGTAATGAAATTGTAGAAAAATGGAGACATAAAAAGAATAAAGAAAAGGACAGGGAGAGAAGGAGAGAAAAACCTTTTAAGAGAGATTTTAATATAGGTATTTGCTTTTTTTTAAAAAAAAAAAACTTTTGAAGCTTCATTAAGAGAACTGAATGTAAATAAACAGTTACTTTTTTTCTTTCTTCTTTAAATTATTGGCTAAAAATGAGTAACATGTCTTTTTTTGCTTTTAATGTACATCATTGGGTTTAAAGGTAAAAATATCTTGCATATTTTTAAATGTATGATATTCTTTATTTACAACTTTATTGAAAGAAAAGAATAGGGAAAACACAAGGCACTGTCGCTGACCCCACTGGGTTCATGGTCCATTTTAGATGTCCTTTGAAGTGTCCAAAGATACACCAATACTAAATCTGCATGTGTAGTTTCCGAAAAGGTATAGTACTCACATTCTAAGCAGTCTTTAAACCATACAAGTACCAAGGAAAGGAAGTCATTCTTTGAAAATTGTATCAAATTAAAGGCCTTTTAAGCATACTTTTATGTTGTTTATATTGACACATGGCTAATGAAAACTCAAATCTGGAAAAACAGTTACACTTACTACTTGAGTGGACAGTTACAACAATGCAATACAATGACCTTTATATTTCAACTTATCATGAACTACCATGGACTTACTGTGAGGTGTAGCCAAAGTCAGGAGAGAAAAATATTCCTTTTTTAAGGAGAGCAAATCCTCCAGAATCATCTTGAGAAATGAACATTCCCTGTTGATTTTAGGTGAAAATATGAGTGTAGTCAATTTCAACTCATGCTAGGCTGATTTAAATCTTTTCCTTGACCTGTTTGGTGTCATTCTTCTAAATCAAGTATGTTGAATTCTTCTAACTTACCCAGATCATCCCCGGTAAAAAGATTTTCATCAACAGCAACAGCTCCAATGGCTCTGTTTTCTGGGCCACCCACTTTATTGTCCTCTTTCAAGTCAGTGCATTCACCATTTTCAGCCCAATCTCCAGAAGCTTCCCTGAGTTTGTTTTCATCTTTATCTGAAACATATGAGCTAAATCTTTTGTGACTGACTACAGTAATGCTTGTCTCACCTGCATCTCTTGGGGTGTACAGGCCTAAATCCGTGTCATTTAAACTCACAGAGTCATCAACCTTGTCAACACTTGCTTCTTGAGTGTAGTGCATATAATTGGCTTCCTCATTGTAATCACTGAAGAGTTGAGGTCCGAATTGAAACACTTCTCAACCACTAATCACCAGTGCCTTTCCAGCTATGAAGTCATATTTCCTTCTTTCCATATCTTGTTCAAGTTTATCAGTCTTTTCTTGTTTTTTCCTTTTCTTCCATGCAACAAAAGAATCTAGAATAATTTTGGTGACATTTAGACCTATGGCCGAACACTGTTTAAATTACATCTTCTGATGAAATTTCATCTTCTTTCTTTTTATGTTTTTTTTAACACAAATCCAGGATGAAGTTCATGATGACACATACTATTATCACCCTCTCCAGGGCATATGAAAAACTAGCCATACTTGTTATTTTTCAATAGCTTCAAGAAAATGCTTGCAGGCTGAGTTTTTTTTCTTTTTCTTCCAACTCACCATGCTTCTTGTTCACTACTTCTCTGGACTTTTTCTGATCCCAGTTATCCATTGTATCTTTTTCAAGTTCTTCATCTCTTGCATCAATGTAAACACTTCGCTTTTCACATTTTCTTTCCAAAGTCAGGCTATGAGAAAACTTGCATTTATGACTTTATTACACTGCCCTTGCCTGAAGAAGGCACACTGCACGGACTGGGAATCTACACTTTACTTATTTTTGGAGCAGTTATGACAGGTTTGAACAGCTTGTTCAGCTCCTGTAATTCTTTCTTCTTGCCATGTTTCAATTTCTTTTCAGCTTCACTTTGTACTACCTGACATAGATTTTGTTGACCAAATTTTTAACTTGATGAGTGGCAGCCTTGATAAACTTCTGTTGCTTTTCTCCTTTCTTATTCTTTAGACCAAAACTTTTGTTATTGATAATCTTCTCCTTTTTCTGCTCCACCTTTTGCTGCCCTCAGCCTGTTTCAGAAACAGAATAGAACCAATAAATACAAAACAATGAGTGAGATATAGGACTTCAAAACAAGATAACAGTAAATGCAAAATGGCTGCCACAGTGTATCTTATTATCTTTGAAATAGCTGCCAGTGCATCTGACACAACAAAATCTAACCCAACCAAACAAATCAATGAGAATGATAAAGGGCTTCAAAACAAGATAAGGGAGAATTAACAATGGCCACCACCTTCAGAAGGAGATCCCCCATAGATGCTACATTACGCATTGTTATCCTCTGGATAGATGATCAGACTAGCAGCTTTAGTCTGCAGTCAGTGAAACACTAAAAGTTATAAGCATTAAGTTGTATTTTACCTCACTAGCATCATCACAGCCTATGTTTCTCCAGATTATCCCGTCTCTTATGGGAGTGGGGGGGGGTGTTGGCTCTTCTTTTCTCCCTGCCCACATGCCGGAAGAGGATGGTGGCTGGCTCTCTGGGAGAGAGCCAGTCTGCCTGCACATGGCACCAACTCATAGGAGGTCTTAGCTTCTTGTTAACTTGCTGTCTATTCCATGGTCCGCGAATGGTGCAGTCACAGGAGAGGCCTGGCATCTGGCTCTCCCTCAGTTAGCCTGCACATGGCTGCAGATTCACCAACAAGATGTTTTTTATTCTTCTATGCAGCAGGAAATAAATTAACGTGCTGGTGGGCTGAGATATGTTACTTATTAGTAGCATTCAGTATATCTTTGAAATATTTTCTGACTTCTACCCATAGCTGAATAGTGATTTTTCAGAATTAAAGAAGGTCTTAGTTGTATGGTAGCTGTATATTTACTAGTGATCAAGGAAGTGTTATTAATTCACTTGTCAGTATTACAAAAGAATTAAGTAAATAAAGAGCCAGATGGTAGAGCCTAGGACGTATCAGGAACCTAGAATCTTTGAGCTGGACCAATGAAATGACAGAAACATTTCCCAGTTTAACTGGAACTAGAGTTAAGCCTTGACTACTAATAAAAAAAAATGAATATTTCAAGTATGATTCTACGATACTGTATTTTACATGCACAAATATCATCTATACTGATATTTGGGTACCCTACATGTCTCTGTGTATCAAAAGTTAAGAATGTTTGGGGCTGGGAATTTAGCTCAGCGGCATAAGCACCTGCCTTGCAAGCAGGCGGTCGTGAGTTCGATCCCTGATACTGATAAAAAAAAAAAGTTAAGAATGTTCATATGCATCAGAAAAGTCTCTTGGAATATCACATACTGGCATGGAAATCAGAGCAATTATTATGAAAATATTTTTGCTGGTTCAGAGAACAGTGATTTTTTTCTCCTACAGAAATGTATATTTTTACAATTATAATAAAATATTTATATCTCATCCAAAAGAATGTAGGCCTCATAATACCTGTC